AAATATCACCGGAACGTTATATGTGCACCAAACGTAGAGATCGCCTAACGCATCTGTTGATCAACGACTCAAATTGGCGAGGGGCACATTGCAATCATAGCTCGTTTGTCATGTGGACAAGCCGTGCGTGATCACATTGTCCAGTCATTTGAACACCTCGATCGGTGGGGATTTGACTTCATCAAAGTAGTCAGGCAAATATACTGTCAGCTTGGGGAATTGAGACGGACAAGTCTCAAAAGAATTATTGCGATGATTCTGTATCTGGTGTTGTGGGTCAGAAGCGTCTGAAATCAGCAAACTCGACGCTAGGGCCTTTTCGTCAGTGATTTTATAATGAGTAGTATATGAATGACTGGACAGAATCATGACGATCATTCTTTTGAGCTGTGTTCGTGCACTCGACGAGCTGCAGATCAAGTTTGCATTGCATAATTCACATCGGAAGTTCAGGTATAAGAATGACGCACACCTGACGATTGGCATTGACCGCGAAACCGGTCGTGTGTTTCTGGAGACTTTTTTCCAGTCATTCGTATACTACTCGCTATAGGTAAAACAAGTAAGAACACGATCCAACACAATGAAATAACCGGAGACAGAAATGGAAGTGGTGATGGAATTCAGTTTTGGGGGCTCAGTTATTATAAAACCGGAATAGCCAAGTTTCGAGGGTGCAAAATACAGAATCTCATGCAGCCGTTGTACCCGATGCTTTAGCTAATTGCATTACGCTCTTTTCTCTATTTGATTCGTTTTATAGTTGTCGTGGTCCCGCTGTTGGTGGTGGTGTTCACGATGTTGGTGTGAGTGATGGTGTTGGTGGTAGTGGTGTAGGCGTTGGTGACTGTGGCGATTGTGGTTACTTTGGTGGTGTTGGTAATGCACTGTTCCACTTATTGTTGGACGTGAACGTGTTTTATCTAATCCCAGTTTCCCTGTGTGAGTTCTGTGATATGTTATATGTGTTTTAGAGCATTGAGACTTTCAGATGAGTGGAGGCACTGTCACCAGTACTAGGGTAAAACTGATATACGCCGTAACTGGTTTGAACCCCTGTTTGCTTCAGTACAAACATCTGACAACGATTGCGGCACTCAGGTCACTTGAGAACAAAGTATGTCAAACGATACAAAACAAAAGTGTTTTGTTTGTGTTTCATTTTACTGCACACGGTTTTGTGTACTGAACAATAGACGAGGTGCACTCCATAGTTACGAAAATCCGGGCGGCTTGGAGTGTGTAACCACATTGGATGTGGTATTGAACCGGATGATAGGTACACCTCTCGGTACTGGGATTCGAACCTCGGATCAAAGAGATCAAAGAAACCACTAGATCACTAAAATACCGAAAACGGGGTGATACAACCGAATGATTGAAACGTGCGAGAATCATAAGCTCGACCAGAATGAATATTCTTTTCGCAGCACTGAAAGCACCTCTGCCGCCAATGTTCATTGCGGGAACAAACTATAGAGTGAGAATCGATCTTTTGAGACCATTTCCAGTAGTAAAAAAGGCAAATCAATACGTTCTAGTGCTATATTTTCACAAGACAGTGCCTGGACAAGGATAGGTGTTTATGGTGAATAACGGTCAAGATATCGGTAAATTGACATCCATACAACCAAATATCTCATTTGGCACGAGTCTTCAGAATTCACACACGCACATAATGCTGCTAACGGAACGGTCCACCGGCAGATACGCATTCTTGCAGTTACGATACTGAACCGCAGCAATTCCCTCCAACAGGTCTTGCTCATTTTTGACCATTGAGAGAAAACGCAGATCGCCCCGTTTTGCGAGCTACTCACGAATGCGAGTAGTATCTTACAGCACTATTACTCGTCGACTAGTTTATCAAGTGGTGCGAGGTTGTCCTTTCCCGAGACGGATGCAATTATCATTGATCAGGCAGCTATGAGACCGAAATTGTTTTTCGTTCAGATCAAGGTTCAGCTTTCAAAAATCATTTCCTTCTTGCCGTTTGTTGATTGTCTCGGACTAGAACGTCCCTCTACCATCCTCAGAGTCAGGTCCTTGTGAAACGAACCAACAGCACGCTGATGAATATTTTGCAAGCCGTCATGGTGTGAAATCATTCGAGTGAGTGATATCTACTCCATCCGTATCCATTCATCTGGGAAGTTCCCCCGCTCTCATTTATTTGGGGAACGAACTCTGCATTTCGGAAAAATGCTGTTACCGTTTACATCAGTGGAAATAATTGGCATGAACGCATTCCTCCGAGTGCTCCAGTAACGCTTATACGAAAATTTTCAAACCTCTTCGGAAACTCTTCTGTCGGAACAACATCAGAAATCCTCAAACCATCGGAGGGCTCAAGACCCGAGTTACGCCCGAGGTGATGTAGTGCTTCTGTATCGATCACGTTCCTCACCAGGTACATCTCAGAAAACTCGACCAACCATGGCACAACCTATGTATTGTCGTTCATCAGCTCTCGCAATGTACATGGAAGTATCACTTGGAGGCGGTCATGCTAAATGACTCACAACACTGGTTGAAACTCAGGACAATGTATTTCCCAAGAAGACAGAGGGCTAGCTGTAACGGCACCAAAACTGATCAGGACAGGTCCCTATCTCCCATTCTCTTCCAGGCACAAAACGGTAAACACGGTGAACACGGAAGCCAAACAAACGAGAGAGACGCAACAGATGAGAGATCAGCACAACCTTTGAGTTTCCCTTCACCCTGTCCATCTTGTAATGTGTTTTTACCACCAGTTATTCACATGAATGTACGGTAAATCGTGTTCTCTCTTTTGTGTGTGTGGCTGACGACGAGAGCAGTGCGATCGAGTACCAATGCTAACAAACGTCCACATTACTACCGATTCACAGTGAGTCTTTGCATCATCTCCACGCCTAGTTTCTGCACCCAAACCACCCTCGATACCACAGTTGAAGTCTCATATACTAAATGCCATAAAAATACCCATGACAAACATTTCACATTTCAGTGAGAAACGTCGGATCCGCGGTATTCCAGAGGCCGGTGGGCGCGACTGTTGTGGACAATGCTATGAACGGGGAGAGGAGAACTGATAGCCTCTGAAATTTACCCGTGTTCTCAATTGTAAAATGCACTAACTGTTGGGGGATATTTTCTTACATAAACGTGATTTGAGACGTGCTACTCAAAAGTGGCACAATTCGTTCCCATAGCTTCGGAAAAGCAGAAGGTAGAGTGCACACTGATTCAAAGTCCCAGAAGGTTCGTTTACTCTGCGTACATCCGGATCGCCATGGTTTTAATCATCAAACGCACAAGGATGAGTTACGCTGTTTCAAGTACCATGGCAAGTAGTTAGTCTCATGGAACAGTTTGCGGTTACCCGGAAAATCTATCGGGAAGTTGATTTCCCGGGATAACAACGAGTTGTCAGTGATGCTGTTTTCTCATTTATGTTGGCATCCCTGCGGAGAAGGACCATCGTTTATGCGGTGGCCGACGTTCCTAATCTCTGTATGGTTCCATCATAGAAAAAGGATTTGAACAAGCTAGGTGTAGCTGATGCTACAGGATTCCGTATTATATCCTTTACACATACGCATCCTGGGATCTGTTACAGTCATAAACATGCTCCAACAATGCTGTCATTCATTTTGAGGGTTGAATCGTATAAGATAACCATTTCAACTCGGACTTCGATAGCAGTTAAAATAAATTATTCTAAATATAAATTGTTCATGAAAATCACGCTTTCAAGCTGTGATGATAGTTCAGCGTGTACGCACACACCACGGAGTAGCTTCCAAGTAGCCAATCAGTCATCAGATTTCCTAACCAATCCTGTGGTTTCGAGTAACACCCAATCGGATTGGCTGAATGCAAGAAGGCAGTCAAATGAGCCAAATCGTTATAGATGGGACATTGAAGAATCAACCAACGAGTTTTGGATTCTTGTGATATATTTTCCATGATTTCCCGAATAGAATAAACTGTATTCTGTTAGTGCAACAATGGGACTAGTCTGAACCGCGACCCAAACTATACAAGCAGCAGTAATGACGACGGACCTGTATTGTACCAACCCAGTGGCCAAGTGAATAATATACGCGAATACGCCCAACTTCTGTCCCGAGTTTAATTCCCAAACTCGACCAGAGAGGTTGTTTATATTTAGCTCGACTGAAAACGCAAACAATGTGGACAACTCATCTGCTTATATACAATTTTCGGACCGGCTGGAAATTGTTTGAAAGTAGAGAGTCTAGAAGGGATGGACCGATCGCGATAAAATATGACTAGTGGTGAGGTATGAGGTCTTTCCGGCCCCGAAATTCAGAAATTCAAATTTTATAACAATAATTAAGAAAATACTAAAAAAAGGCGGAAATAGTTACTTTCATGAGAGAAAATGGTATTTTTGCAATCAAATCACATCTTGTGTTGGTTCTACCTGACGTTGTGGTATTTAGTGGGTTTTCATTCGGAATCCGAGTTCGCGCTATACGATTCTGCAGTGCTGAGGGATTACTCGTTCTAAGGCTTCAGTATTGACGATATAGCTGTTCACTGATCGACATCTGTTGCACGCAAAATATTAATTCTGTTGCAAATGAAATGTCCACCGACTCTCACTGAAGTGTAACTCACACATCTACTGCCTCTGTTGAACACTTTACAGAAGCATCTAATGTGATTGTCAATTCCAAGCTGATATAGTTTTGTTCGCACTGACAGAGTATACTCTCCGCGGTTAAAAGCTTTTATAAGACAAAAAACCCGCTTGTACGATCCCTAAAACAGCCACTGTCGCACACCTTACACTGAAAATCAGAACAGAGATAAAAAATCTGAATGTTTCATTCGCAAAGCAAGTTATGGGAGATGGAGATGGAAGACGGTTATGACAACGAATCAGAGTGCTTTGCGGACTGAAGAAACGGACAGCAAACGAAATTATTGACGTGGTCAGCCTCAATACCACATTCATTTATCTTTCGAATGATCTCATGTCTCACGTACCCCACCATGGACCCATGAGGAGGTCGATCATCTTCTTCAAACTACGAAAGTCACGAACACAGTTGGCCCCGATGATCTGTCTTCGTCGTTGCTCAAACAGGTCATTAGCTCGGTCAGAGAGATGTTTGCGTCCCTCATTAACCAATCCATCTGCACACGTTTCGAATCCGGATTCCTGAAGACCGTTCACCACTGTTCTTATTCCGAAACCCTTTCAGCTAGCATTTTATCTATCCTATCCTATCATCCTATCGACATCACTTCTTCTAGAATTAAACTTGCAGAGTGCGCTACCTTCACCCACTAGCCATCTGGTATTATTGTTCCCAATGACCCCCTCCAGTTTGCACACAAGCCAAATTGATGCAATTGGGATGCCGTCTCTTCAGTGATGCGCTTTGTTTGCTAATCTTGAGATGATTCTGAAAAGTCGGTTATTTGTGTTTTCCTTGACTATTCCTCGGTTTTTGATTCCTTTCCACGCTCTTTCCTCCTGCAAACGTTAGCCATTCGGTTGCCCTATCAACTTTTTGTCATGGTCGAAAAAGTATTTCACCGGATGGATTCAAAGTACAAAAGTAAACGTTACTATTTCAAAACGATTAGTGAATAAATTTGGAGTCTTTTAGGGTGCTGTGCTTTCCCCCCTCTCGTTTTCAACTTTCAACATTGTCCTACCCTTAATCCCACCAAGTACGTCCTTTAAGTATACAGATGGTTTCATCTTATATCACGCTGTACCTAACCAGTCGCACATAAAATCATTTTACGACAGTTTTTCACAAGGGCAATGATTCTCGAATCAATCCGGTCTCCAGTGAAATACTT